TTTTTTTTTTTTTTTTTTTTTTTTTTTTTTTTTTTTTTTTTTTTCAGTTTTCCATCTCTGGTCTTCCCTGTTCATACATCTTCAATTAAAACTCATGAACTCACAAATAAACCTGCATTCTTACCTCTAGTTTTATAGAAAATGTTCACCTCTTTTCATTTGGTCTAATCCTTAAGTTAGTGACACTGCTTTTACCTTTTTTTTCTCTTGAACTTTCTCCTATCAACTGCTCTTGGCATTTTCTCTCTTCCTTTCAACTGACTCCTTCTGAATCCACCATAAATATAATCATGACTCTCTCATTAAAAAAATAAGCAGGTAGTATTTTTCCCCTCATCGATTGTTTTATTCAAGGAATACATCCAGCTGTCTCAGAGAAACACAAAAGTAATCCCTCCTTTCATTTTGTTACCTCCTCTGGCTGATTCTTAAACTTACTAACTTGGGTTTGTGAGTTTGAGGTCTGTATTCCAGGCTACTGTTCTACTGATTCACACCTGCAAGTTCTGTGTCACTTCTTTTTTTTCAATTCCTGTCTCGCTTGGACACTAACTGGGAGTCTTCTCTTTTCTCTCTCTCAAAAATTACTCATCATCACTGATGATGCTAGCTACTATATCTTTCCCACCTCTGAGACTGTCCTGGTTCAGCCTAATTTACTGCCACTCTTTCTTACTGCTGATAGATTTGCATCTTTGGCTATCTTCCCACTGTGGAGAGATCTATCAGCTAAATAAAATGATATTTGCATGACACCCATATCAACAAGTTCAACCGAGAGACTTCCTGATTCCCTGAGATGTAATTCCAGACAGGCATTTCCAAAAGCTTACTCAATAGCTTCTTGGAGATATACCTCATAGACCCCAACACAACATTCCCCAAGTTGAACTTTACAACCTACTCTTCCTCCTGTTCACTTTGTTGGTGAACAATATCACCAACACACAAGCCAGAAATCTGGGTGTCTTCTGACACTGCTATATACCTCTCAACTACTATGTTTGAATGACTGCCAAATCCTTAAATCTGTTGCATGTATTTTACCTCTCCATCCCCATGGCTACTGCTGTGAAAATCACTTTTCTCTGGGCTATTGAAATAGGCTCCAAACGTATTTTTATATTTTCTATTTCTTACATGCTTTAGGATGTGATTTCCTCATACCCAGTCTTCTTGAAATGGCTCCCTTCCTTGGTTTAGCCCATCTGAATTGTTTTTCTTGTTGGCTGTGTTGAGTCACAGACATACTGAAGACTCCCTGATGAAGGCCATCAATTGCTTCTTTAGAGAAATGCACACTCTCCCATAACACAGGCTCACACATTGTTATAGTGGCATCAGGGGATTCTGGATTCCATGGTCTGACAAGGAATCCGGTGGTCCAGCCTGATTTTTAGCCACACTACTCTCCAACACCTTCTACAACACCAAATATGTATAGTTACCCCTAAATGCCTTGTTGTTTCTTGCTTCATGATATTGCCTCACACAACCTGTGCTTGCCACATTCCCTTAGTAAAAGAGTAAAATACTCTCGTTTTCTGTCTGTTAGCCTCAGATCACCTTCAGGTGTATACTTATTCTTTCCTCAAACCTATAGGTCTGGGTTGTTTCTTCCATCATAGCCCTATTATATATGACTTCTATACGACAATAAAATAACCTAGGGTAGACATTGTGATTTAAAGCTAAAGAAACAGATTTAGAATGGGGTTGCAGGCATGGTAGATTTGGATGTATTTGGTAAAAGGCACAATGTCCCTAATCCAGCTACCAAGTTACTCTGAGTTTGAGGAAGGAGAAATTTCTTCAATCAAGTTAGTACCATGTAAAGATTTATAACAGAAGTGGCCTTTAAATTGGTTTTATAAGCTATATAGGATTTGGAAATGCGAAGTTTGGAGGTAGAGAAGAAAAGTGAGAATTCTCCTACCTGGACCACATTTACTAAGCTGTTTTCAATTGTAAAAATTAGTACCTTGATGTGTCATTAGATTCTTTTTCTAGCACTGTATTAATCATAAGACGTTATCACTCATGTGATTCAAGTGAATTATTTCCTCACCTATATTTTTATCTTTTGTTAGAAATAAGATATTTTAGAATTCACAGTAAGCTTCTTTTTCCGTTGGTGAGTTCCTTGTTATATTTACTGATATGTAAGATTTAGCACACTGTTTCATAAAATGAGTTTTCAGAAAATCTAATCCTATGGAAAACTCATCAAGAAAGTATTCTGTGTTCTAATAGACTTGTGATTCACATTAGCACTGTAAAAGCTCTTAAAAGACCTGTGTTAAAGAAGCTTCACTTGTTTAATTTACCACTTCATGACTTATTTGATCATATAACCGCTTTTTCCATAATAGCTGTTACTATGTCAAGGGACGACTTCTCCACACATTGGGAAATTATAATGAACTATAAATATTAATCTGCTGTGCATAGTCTTTCCAAATAGAACTACTTATTAAGCATCCAAAATAAGTTGTTATATAGATAATATTTTTTCACTTCTCAAAGAGGAGATTCCAAAATACCTCTTAACTTAGAGGACTTATATATAGGCCATATATGTTTTGCAAGTATTTGCTGTTTACCTATTGGGAGATAATTGTTTTGATATATTATGAAACAATCAAATCATAGTAGCACAGATCTTTTGGAACAAAAGGATAACTGTATTTTAAATGGTCTTCCCCTCCACCACTAATTTCAGAAACGTGAAGCCCAGAGAACCTTAAGATCTTAGTGAATATCATGGAGCAAGTCTATAGTGGAACCATGGACTAAACATTGATCTCTTGAATGAAAGCCCAGTATTCTTTTCCTCACTAATCTAATCCGTTGCTTAATAATCCATTTATGTAAAAAAATTCTACCTGTGATGACAGTTGAAGTTTTTTATCACAAGTTTCAAAACAAGGACTAGAGGCGTTTTACATGCATAATCAGCTAAACATCCTTGAAATGACGCTTTTGCATAATTGAGAACAAAAGTTGTGAAATAATTTAAAAATGCAATTATAATATGCAGAACAAATGTTTTTAAAACATCCAGTCTTTCAGAAGCATAAACTCTATGAAATCAGAAACGGAAAGTGAAAGTCAGATTCATTGTATTCTTATTTGGTTAGTCTCTCATTTAATAAAACACTTCCAACATGAAAGCACTCTTGGGGATCAAAGTCATTAGCAGAACAAACAGATCATGCTCTTTAGTTAATTCTAACAAGTTCTGTGGTTTAATCATAAGTTATTTTTCCAAGGCAGAAGCATTTCTGTTTATTAGGTAATATGGACCTTTAAAATTCATTTTCACTTTAGTACCTTCTTCCTAATAACTTTGAATAAATTAAGAGATATGATGCCTTCAATCAACCATATAAAAACAAAGTTAATAGGAAAAATATATACTGTCCTCTCCTTATATGAAATTACTTTCTTTTATTATAATTTCACATTATTACTGAAAATGCCAGTTAATAATACAGAATTTGGGAGCTGTCAAAGGTATAAAATCATCCATTCCTATACTTTTTAACATAGAGTATTTGTGTGCATAAAAAAATCTCTTTAATGCCATAAAATGCTTCCAACCTTTTCAAAATTAAAGAAATAACACACAACATACAATATTTTAACTAGACAGTATTAAATGCAAAATTGAAGTCCAGTGGCCTTAGCTCTAACATGTCTATAACTATCTCACCATGTGGAAAATTAATGTTGCAAAGTAAACATGGCAATAAAATATACAGTACATAGAATAAGATATATTTGCTGAAGAAATATACACTCAGAATATTGAATAATTAATAAAGCATTGAGAAATCATATATGCAGATAAATTTTCTTAAAATTTTATCTTTCAGATTTTCTACTCTCCCCTGGCCCTCTTCATACCCCCTTCAGTATATGCTGTTCATCTTCAGTTCAATCTTCTTTACCAATTTTGGATCCATACAGAGGTAAAACTTTTTTTTTAATCTTTGTAAGCTTTATACATAAACAGCCTGAAGCAATGTCCTGGAAATCCACTAGCAGCTGATTTATTGTGTCAGAAAAATCTTTGTCTGCCTTTTTTAAGCAGAAACATCTGTTCATTTTTATTCCTTTTTACTGAATATATATTGCAAAGTTTATAAGAAGCAATGAGGCCAGTTCGTCTCAATTAAATAAAACAATTTTTTGAACTATTAAGTACCAAAACATTTTAATACTGTATTCAATACAATATCTTCCTGTATTACAGCTTATTAAACATAATTTACCAAGAGATGTTGAAATTCATTTCAATTTAGAGATATAAATTTGTATATGTATGTATATAAATATATCTGTAATCTGTTGGAACTCTTTTGAAACTTCCTAAAAAATTTTATAGAAATTATGAAAATAATTTCTGATTGGAAAACTTGCTCTAACTACAGAGTTTACATTTTATTTAAATTTGTCCTGTGTATTGTTAGTTTTTTTTCCTCCAAAAAATGAAGAAATACAATTTTGGAGTCTTCTGTGGCATATCAAATTGTCAGACTTGAATGTTTGCAGATAGGTTATTAAGCAGCTGATTGGTTTATGAACATTTGTACAAATCCTATTGCTAAAATATCAAAAATCACAGACCCAGAAAAATTCTTACCTATACACACAAGCACTCTTTTAAGCATTTGTTATTTATTGGAAGCCTTTGAAAGTTACTATAGGAAGCATGTTGACAGGTTTTGCAACTGGTTGAACAACACTACAAATCACAGCTGCATTATATGTGAAATTTTGATACAATAAGTATATTATTCCATTAACCTGCAGTATTTTATGCTACCGATTTACTTAGAATAAAGAGACTGTTACCATGACTTTGGACATATGTAGCATTATTTGAAGATCTATCATGAAATAGTATTGTGTTTTATGATACTTGACATACATCAAGCACTCAGTACTACAACCATCTGAAAGAGTTGTTGTGGCCAATTCCGACTCTAGAGGTCAAAGACCAAATTTGTTTAAATCAGTGGAGGGAAGCTTTCTGATGATTTACATGGAGGGGTTAAGGGAGAATTACATTTTATAGCAGCTCTGCTCCAGGTCACGCCATGTGTTGGGTCAGGTATTAGTTTGGATACAGAACAATAGTGCCTCAGTCACTTTTTCCCTCTTCCTTTGTCCCTCTGGGAGGACCATGAGCTAGGCCTTGAGCTCCATTTCATGAAGTAAAGCAACAGTGGAGAAAAGCCACTGGTGAGACTCATTCCTGTTAGCTAAGAACCTCCAAGTGGCTTCATTTCCACTTCAAAAGCAATGCTTAGAACCTCTCCCTCGTGTTACACTTTATGCTTTTCAAAATACTTTACTATGTATGGGTTTCTACAGATGAACTGCATGGGAGGCAAGAACACTTCTTCTTAAATTCATGGTTTCGATCTTGGAAAATTAAATTGTATTACTAACCATGAAAACATTTCTGAAATATTTCTTAACTGTGCAGTTACATTAGTTTATTATATACAAGATAAGATCGTTTATTTACAAATAGTAGAATTATTCAGGAAGGAGAGCCAAGAGATTGGACACCATGACTGCTTCTGGAGAGAAAGACAAATGGTATAGGGGACATGAGTGGGGAGAAGTGTTAAGTATTTTTTAAAAATTATTTTTATTATTTGCTTGTCTTGCTGTTCAATAAAGAATTAATACACAGATTAATAGTAAAAATAAATAAAAACTAAAAACAGCAGACTTTAGCCTAGAAAAATACTCACTTTATGTTTTCTTGTACTGTAAATTGTGCAAACCCCTTTAGGCACATGCGTACTGTTTAATATCAGGCATCATACTTGGATCTCCATTGATAGAAATGGTATGTGAGCTGTAGAGCTGACAATGTTAGCCAAAGAGCCCTGTACATTCCTGAATAGAGTTTCATTCTTACCATTGTTTCACTTCTCCTAACAGCCATAAAAATCAGTTCTCACTAAAAGGGGAGTATGATCTTAAGAAGATACTGTTTTTTTTGAAAGTGAAGAAAATTCAGATCTCTTAAAATCAATCACATTAGAATAATAGGAAGGAAGAAAACCTAAAACCACATGTTTGGAAGACTATGAGAGAAAAAATAGGCCATAAAACACACTCAATATTTTATTGAAATTTTCTGTTTACTTTTGAGTTATTTTGATGAATGCACGAAGTCTAGGCTGGGGACAGTGGCTCTATGCCTGTAATCCTAGAAGTTTGGGAGGCAGAGGCGGGCAAATCAGCTGAGGTCAGGAGTACAAGACGAGCCTGGTCAACATACTAAAACCCCATCTCTACTAAAAATACAAAAATTAGCCGGGCGTGGTAGTTCCTATGCACACCTGTAATTCTAGCTACTTGGAATGCTAAAGTGGAATAATTGCTTGAACCTGGGAGGTGGATGTTGCAGTGAGTCAAAATCCTGCCACTGCACTCCAGCCTAGGTGTCAGAGTGAGACTCCTTCTCAAAAAAAGAAAGAAAGAAAAAGAAAAGATAAAGAAACACAATCTATTGCCATCCTCTTTTTTTGAAAGTTATAAAACATTTGGCTTAAAACTCTACTCTGTTGCTTAATTTTTGTGACTATGTTTTTGTTTGTGTATTGTTCAAGGATATAAAGTCTACAGCACATATTCAGTTATCCTTTTTTCTCGTGAATTCACTAAAGACAGTAAGAAAACCTTTTTATTTAATACATGTTTTTAACTTAGAACAGTGGAATGTTTTAAGTATTTTTTGAGGTGTCAGTTGTTATTTGGATGTCAGCTGAGTTTATACAATACAGTAACAATCGTATAATGATACTATTACCCTATTACCTTTTTTTTCTTGAATTTGTTATCATTGTTTATGTACATATCATGTGATGCTTGAGTAGAGAAATGTAGCAGAGAAACAACTTAATTATTTGATATTGAAGATTTGAACCATCTGATTAAATGATTTTTATAGTGCTAAACTAAAACCTCTAAATGAAACATTATGCCAACATTACAAATACAAGGAGTGATCTCTTTATATACCAATATAGACAGACCTCCAAATAAATCAAGGTACATTACAAAATATAGCAGATCCTAATATTTATTTTAAAAGGAGAGAAAACAACTATATATTTTGTACATTCTGTTATGCATAAAATGTTCAGAGAAAGACACTATGGGTAGCCCATGGTTTTCCTGTGGTAAGCAGTATATGAGATGGCTGAGAGATAAGGATCACAGTGAGACACTAACATTAATTTTATCCATTCTAATTTGGGTGAAGAGTAATCTCTCTGCAGTAGTATTTCTCTAATAACTAATGATGCTGAACAACTTCTCATGTATTTATTGGATGTTGCTTCATTTATTTGCTTTAATGAACTGTCTATTCAAGGTCTTGCCTACATTTTATTGGGTTGTTTGCCTAATTGATTTACTTGAATGGCTTATAGACTTGGGAGACAAATATTATGTCAGATACATGTATTAAAAATATTCCCTTGGCCGGGTGCAGTGGCTCACGCCTGTAATCCCAGAACTTTGGAAGGCCAAGGTGGGTGGATCACGAGGTCCGTAGATGTAGACCATCCTGGCTAACACAGTGAAACCCCATCTCTACTAAAAATACAAAAAAATTAGCCAGACATGGTGGTGGGTGCCTTTAATCCTAGCTACTCGGGAGGCTGAGGCAGGAGAATAGAGGTTGCAGTGAGCTGAGATCACACCACTTCACCCCATCCTAGGCAACAGAGCAAGACTCCATTCCATCTCAAAAAAAAAAAAAAAAATCCTCAGTTTGGAACATGTCATTTTATATTTTATTCCTAATGACTTTTCATGAGCAGAAATATTGAATTTTGAAGTTCACTATATTTTATTTTTTTTAAAATATTTTCTCTAAGAAATCTTTGCCTATCAGAAACTCTGAAAGATAGTCTTCTAGGATTACTGTTGAAACCTTAGAGTTTTAAATTTTACTTTTACTCTGTGATATTCTTGAATTAACTATTACATGTGGTATGAGGTAGAAATCAAGATGCCTGATTTCTATTTACATAACCACAACTATAGCCACATTTATTATAGAGTCTTTAAAAAAATTCATTAGATGTTCTTGGTGACTTGTTGAAAAAAAGTCAACCACATATGGTGGGATCTATTTTTAGACTCTTACTTTTATTGATGTGTGTGTTTTCCTTTATACCAATTCCTTAATTTATTGATTATCATAGCTTTCAAGGATGCATTGTTCACACGTTTGTAAAATAATCTGTTTAATTTTCTCTAGAATTTTTGTCATGCATAATTTTGTGGTCTTTGAACAAAGACAGCTTTATTGCTTTTTTTTTTTTTTTTTTTTATTTGTGCTTTTTTTTTCTTGCTTTATTGCTCTGGCAAGGAACTAAATGGTATAAGATAGAAGTGGCTAAAGTGAGATGTAGGTATCCTCTACTGACTTGTTCTCTCTCTCTCTGTCTCTCTCCCCCCAATCCTTTCTTCCTCTCTTAGTGTGTGTGTGTGTGTGTGTGTGTGTGTGTGTGTGTGTGTGTGTGGCTACTCTAGGAATTAAATATGCATTCCTATCATATTCTGCTTTGAATTAATATAAATAATACTTATAAATGTAAGAATGTTATAGTAATATAATTCCATCTATACCCAGCCTTTTAGCTAGCATTCTCACATATGCTAATCTTTCACATTATGAATCCCAAAATATTATTATTCTACATTTAGTCAGTTATATTTAAAGCAATTAAGAAGATAAAATAGTTAATCTTCTGTATTTACCCAGATATTTACCTTATAATAGCCTTCATTCTTTCCATTAATCTTAAGGGAAGTTAAGGGATCTTGGTCATGTTTTTCTTAAACATTGTTTCTGTCCCTTTCTCTTTCTCCTCTCCTCTGAGAACATCAATTACATGTGTATTAGACTGCATGATATTACCTCAGAGATCAG